ATGGATGGATGGATGGATGGATGGATGGATAATGTATCCTGATTGAAATGCAGTGAAGAGCACTGCTGCAATCCACCAGACTCTCTTAAAGCTCTTATTAGCTTTACTCATGAACATGACCAATTAAGGAACAAACACCTACGTAAGTATTGAATAATGGATAACGCAATTCAGCAACACTTGCTCAAGTCTGAGGGGATGACTTCTTCTAACCCTGCAATAGGTGTGGCTGTTGATCAACATTATGAACCACACTGAGGTGAAGTTATACAGCTTTATGCTTGTCTCTACTTGTTGCAGAAGCTCTGTAATTGTTGTTAACAGACAACCAACCATAAACATTGTCAGACTGGGTAAACCACAGCATGCTACTTTGACCATATCCACAGCTGTGACCGCTTTAATTTTAAAACTGGAAAAGTTTCCAACCCTTTATGATAGATGCAGAGGCAGGGCAGACGGGCGATGGTGTCTCCCTGTAGCAGCTCCTCCAGGCAAATTGCACATTCTCCAGCATCCTTGGTCAGGACGTCCTCTGTAAGGCAACACACATCACACAACAGGAATTAGTAAGAGTCATTTTACAGATTATACAAACAAGGTCAGACCTACTGGCACCCCCTGGATGCTTCACTGTAAACTGCAGAAAAGCATGTTCTCTCAGTTATATTATTATGGTCATTTGACTCAACTTAGCTTCACTGCTTAAATGTCACTGTTATACTGTATTACTGTATTGTATTACTGGTATTGACATCTTTGGTAGGAAATTTTATAGTTTATAAAAAATTTATATGATCAATAAATGCGCATAAAAACAGTAAACATTAAGGTAATCTGACCAGTTGTTCTGACAGGAATACAAGACGTTTTAACTAAAGCATTTTCACAAATTTGTACGTTAAGCATTTTAGATTTCATGGGAATATTTACAACAATTCAGATTTTTTACAAAAGAAGGAAAGGACATGAAACTGAACTGTGATAAAAATCTTTAGCCAGAGATCAAATTGTTATTAAGAATTATTCATCACAAGCAAAAAGAAATATTGTAACTGAAATCAGTAGATGAACATTTTCTCTGACAGTCAGTGGAACCCAGGTTCACAGTCTGTTGCACGTTAATAAAACTAATGGATTTATGCTTTGGTCCTGGGGAACAAGTAGCCCTATTTGAGCTGGGTTGTGACTTTCCACACACAAACTTACCTGCCGCAAAATATTTGATACTATGGACACAGGGAGAGCAATGTTTAAAATATAAATATAAATCATAGGTATACACATGAGTAAGAAATACCATATATACAGTGCATAGACTATATATTCTTTTATATACACTGTATGTGTGTGTGTGTATATATATATATACACACACACATATATACATATATATATATGTAAAGACAGAGAGAGGGAGAGATGTACTATATACACAATATGGTGTATAATAGTGGTATAAATAATATGAAGAAATGTGCATTTATCACATATGTCACTACTAGCTATACTACTATTTCCTTGGTAGCAGCAAAACTAGTTGATGTAAAGTTTACATAGAGGAGTACAGGCTGCAGATATAATGTAACAAAAGATCACAGAAACCTGAACGTCTGCTACCTTCCTATTTTTATTGTTTAGTCATGCTCAAGTTACAATTCTGGTATTTCCAAAAAGGTCCGAGAAGGCACCACAAACTTATTAATGTGCTCTAAAATCTTTTCATATTAGTGTTACTATGCTCAGTCTAGTGCTATGGGTTGGATGGGCACCAGGAAAACGCCACCTCTGCCAACCCCTGCTTACAAGTCTGTGTGGTTACCATGTGCATGTGTGCACCTCTGTGTGTGTGTGTGTGTGTGTGTGTGTGTGTGTGTGTGAGGGGTGAGTTTGTGTACACGTAGAGCAGCATTCATCTTGCCCTGCTATGAATAGCATTGGTCTGGCTCTAAAGTGGAAGTCAGCATGTGCACCATTAAACCCATCACCTGCAGCAAAACACACAGAGTCATTAGGACTGGCCTTATGTAACAGTGGATTAACCCACATAGGCCTGCAAAAGCCTGTTATTATGGGCTGCAGCACATGGCATCCAGCTCAGCTGAGGGGAAAAATAACGTACTGACAGTCTGGTCAGTCCGGCAGGCAGAGGAGCACAACACCCATACATATGCAGACACACACTTTGTTAAAAATGTAGTTTTGACGCCAGATGTTTGTTTTAGTTGCAGAACATTATGGTTCCTCACCCCCATCAGTGCACTGCAGGAGACAGCTGGACTACGGTCTGTTTGTTGCACCAAATGCTTGCAACGTGTACATTGTGGTCGAGTCCGTCATAAGTTCTCTCTTTATCTTCCCAGCACATGGGACAGAATGTGGTCAAGCAGTAGAAACAAAACTAAAAAGAAATGATTGTGCAGCCAACTTCCACAAGTTTTTAGACTTGCAACATTTCAACCTGTATACATTATAAACTGAACAAAAACCAGACTGTTCAGTGAACAGCTAGAAACAACAGCTACACCTACCTTTAGGAGACCACTTGATAAAGAATAGCACCCCTGTCAATGACATATGTACAGAAAAACACACCATGGCCTCACAAAAGCACTGTGTATGTGAAACCCCAAACATCCCACCAACCTCAAGGGTCTTCTGGTTGAAGCTGATACAGACACCGGACATTCATCATCAAATGTTGCTTGCAGGAAACTGCAGATGTGGTCGCTGCACCTGTCCCCATTTGATTGTTACTTTCATTTTAAATCCTTCCAGAAGACCATTACTGTGGATTGCACTGAGAAATGTCCTGTCCCATGTTAGTGGATTTGCTTTTTAAGATGTTGTGGCTTTTACTGGAATTGCATAATGGTCAAATAGCATTAAATATTGACCCTGTCGATGCATTCAGTCTAAAAATACCAAAACTGGTATTTTAAAAAGCCCATTTTTGGTTACCTTACAAAAACACAGACAGCAGGGTCTGACAACGGGTAAAAAAAAAAAAAGTCTCGCTGATCTTTGAGCTCTGTACAGGCCCCAGAAAAACAGATCAGGGATCAGAGGGGAGGAGGAGCTTCAAAGAGCAGCCTTTACTACAGCAGACTGACTTCTGAGCTGTACTTTCTGTGTCTATGGTGTTTACTAGAAAGAGCAACTCGGCTGTGACATTGTCATCCGTCTGTTTCACAGCAGGTCACATATCAGAAATAGGGTCATGAAGCATCTCAGGCTCTATCACGCAGTTCAGTGAAAACACATGCAGACAGGTGGGAGCTGTGACGTTATGTACACACGACAGCTGCTGCTTGTGTGTCATGGACAAGCACAAGATATATTTAGAGACCAGAGGTGTGTGTGTGTGTGTGTGTGTGTGTGTAAATAAGCAGCGTTTCAAGGCCAAGCTGCAACACATATTGACATTAAGTCTGGGGAGTTTTCAGGTGCGACTTCCTGTTTCTGCAGGCTTCACACATATTACAGTGACATAGTTGATATGTGACTAATGTGTGTAAGACTACATTATCGACTTAATAAATAAATTTTTGTTCTTTCTTGTTTTTTTTTTTTTAATGTGTGTGGGTTGTAGTTGAGGGCTTTTCTTGGACGGCTACAAGCAAACAAACAAGAAACAAACAATCTACATACAAATCTTCAGGGTCATGTGAGTCTGATGTGAGATGGTGAGTGTGTGTATGTCAGCGTGTTCAAGCTACAGCAGGCAGAAATCTGAATTACACACACACAGACACACACACACACACAGATAAAAGATAAAAGGTTAATCATGATAAAAGGTTTCATTTCAGCCAGTATTGATGATTGTTGACTGAAGTTTTAATGCCCTTTCTTTGTCAGCAACCAGGAAAAAAACAATAATAATAATTTTAATTTAATCATTGAGCCTGTTTATGAAGGCAAACCAGTAATAGCCTTAATGCTAAAACAACAAGGGAAAACATGCCAGGACCAGGTATCACTGGATGGGACACTACACCGATCTCCATGCGTACATATGAAGTCGGTCAGGCCGTGGAGCACGGCTGGAGGGAGGTTGTTTGGATGAAGATGGTGGCACACACAGAGTTGTGAGTATTTTTGAACCGTGAAGCCCATCTAGAAAGACTGATTCCTGCTGGCTGCAGCCTCTAACCAGGGGAGGTCTGACAGAGGAGGCAGGAGGTCCAGGTTGTTGTAAATGAGCATGTCTAACCTGTTATTCTTATCGTTTATTAAATTATGATAGGCTGGTTAAAATCCAGGAAGGGATCACGCTTGTTGTTCATGCGGTGCAACTTTGCACTTTTGTTATAGGCAGCGGTTTGCATTTAATGCATTTAAGTGAAACTATCGATTATTACATATTGCTGTTGTTTTATTGCCCAGCCCTTAGTTACATCATTATTTCCATTAAACTTTTTTCCTATACATTTTTTTGCAGTCTTGTACAAATGTGCTGTGGCTTAGGTGCTTGACGCCTATTTGATGTCTTTCTGAGAACAAGAGAATTACTCTAATTTCATATTGTATCCGTCTAATGTACAGTATATTCGCCAGCTTTCTAAGTTGTATTTTGCATCTTGTGTTGGGTGGATTGAAATATTTACACCAGGGTCACAACTAAGCAACAACAGCTATAAAAAAAAAACTAGTACAATAATAAAATTGTTGGCTTTTTTCTTCACACACATGCACAAGAATGCAGTTGATCCTGTTTATTGTTCCCACACAAACTCACAGAAAATTACTTTTTTCATTTACTCACAAATAAAATCACTTTTTGGAGATGGTGCACATAACTGTTCACCATTCTCACACATCGGCATGCTGGAATTTTTGACCACTCTTTATCGTGAAGTTGTGAATAGATAGCCTCACATTATCTTCAAGCACCATTTAATAAGATGCAACATTCACAGTTGAATCAATGACTGCAAGCTGCCCGGTCCTTGAATCAGCAGAGCAAACCATCACATTTGCAACCCGCATACTTCACAGTTAGTGTGGCATTCTTCCTCTGCACCAAACATGTCTGTTACTGTGACCAATCAATTTTATCTTTGATTTGTCTGCCCATAGCACAAGATTCTAAATGCCTAGGTCTTTGCTTTTATGCTAACTGGGAAACTGTAGTTGTGCTCTAATGTTCTTTTTGGAATTGAAAGGCTTTTTCTTGCATGCCTCCCATGCAGGTCATGTTTGTGTGACCTCTTTCTGCTTGTAGATGCATGCCAGTTCCAGGCAAATTGGTAGTTATTTGAAATCTAAGGAAAATTACGATTTTTTTCTTTTTTATTTTACAAGGAAATCATTTATTCCAAATTTGGAGATAATTTTAAATCCCTTGCCAGACTCAGTGGCATCCACACCTTGTTTCTGAAGGCCTCAGAGAGTTTTTTTTTAAGACCATAGCACGATGACACCACACTTTGAAGAAAACAGCAGCACCTAAACGTCAGGGGTTTAAATATTACAGGTTAAACCTGTTTCCCTGATGAGATTTTAATCACTGGCATGATGATTAAAATCTGTCCTGATGCTGAAGCCCTGATTCTAATTTGATGGATTTGAAGGTGTGATAAATGTAGGGATGTACTTCTTTCTGTTTCTGTTTTTTCTTAAATTGAAATTATGAAAATGAAACAACAAAAAGTCATTTTTACATGTCATTTGTTTGAGTGTATCACCTTTACCCATAGGCACTGTTTCAAAGAGGATCATTTGCTCGTCCCAACGTGTTCAAAAAGCCACCAATGTCCAACAGTTTTTCACGGGACTGCAAATCTCTTTAATCAATTTTTTACTTTCTACAGTCTCTGATATGATGGTGGTTCACTGACATTTGATTTACTTTCTCTATATATTTTTTGACACTTGTCACTTGTTTAAGAGCTACTTTTATTTAAAAGGATGATATGTAACAACTGTTCTTCTGCTCCAGCCTTAAAGAACGGCTAAACTTGCAAGGATGTAGACTAATGCAGTTTGTTGCAGTTTTGTGTGTTAGCATGCTAACATTTGCTAATTGATGCTAAATTGAATGAGAGCTCAGGATTGTCGTTAGTTTTTCATGTCTCTGGTGATAATGATATTGGAACATCAAAGTTGTTACAGTTCATACTGTGGGTGACTTGACTGCCTGAAATAAATTACACAATGCATCTAGTGATTATCCATGTTTCACTCAAAGCCACAACCGTTATGGTGGTTGAGGGCTTATTCTCTGAAGCTCATGAATATCAGGAGAAAAGTCTGTGCCAGTCGATCGAGGTGGGATATTTATGTTTATTAAACTTCAAGAAGTCCTCACAATGATTGCTAAATTTTAGTAAAAGCCTAAAGTGGCAATATGCTCATGGCACTAGAGGAAGTCAGAGGAGCTCGAATGATTCATCCTCTGAGGACCATGAAAGAAATGTGATCTTTGTCCAATTACTGACTGACCAACTGACAGACAAACAGACTGCCTGCTGTTGCTCCATGTTGTATTTGTAGTGAAATGCTCATTTACTTGTGACCTGGAATTAGATAACATTTGTTACGGTACTTCTTCTATGCTGATTGTGTTCTCCATATTGCAGCAAACTGATCAGAGCATGAACATCATATGACTGATAGAAAGGAAGACAGAGAGGAATCTGTCCCAGCTGAACAGGAAGTCAGTTTACTCAAAGAGGAACTCAACTCAGCCCTGAAAACACTCAGCTGAAAGGGAAATGTGTGTGTATGCGACAGCTGAAATGTCTCCAGACTTGAGTCTCATTGTAAAGAGGAGGAATAAGAAACTCAATACATTTTCTCAAACAAAGTCGTGGCATGAAGACACCAGAGATGCTGCTGCTGCTGCTGCTGTGCTCATGTTCCTTGATGGTTGTTAAACTTCACTCCTGTCATGTTTCTATACACACGCTGGAAGTGAAAGTGGGTCATCGATGCCGAGAAACAAGTAGAGGATGAGGTGATTTGAACTGAACAATCTTAAAAACAGAGCCAATCCCTGCTGGTCCCATCACATTCAAACCACAGCCTGAGGATCGGCTTGACATGTATTTAAATTTTTACCAACATGTGTGCATAGACATGTATCTGTGAAAGGAGAAGCTCTGTTCACATACTTGGGCTGCAAGGTGAATCGGTGGTTAGCACTGTCGCCTTGCAGCAAGAAGGTTGCCGGTTCGCGTCCTGGTGAGGACATCCGGGGTCTTTCTGTGTGAAGTTTACATGTTCTCTGCAGCATGGGTTCTCTCCGGGTTCTCTGGCTTCCTCCCAAAAACATGTTGAGGGTAATTGGTGATTCTAAATTGTCCGTAGGTGTGAATGTGAGTGTGCTTGGTTGTCTCTCCAGGGTGTCCCCTGCCTTCACCCTAAATCAGCTGGGATAGACTGTTGACTCCTTGATCACTAGTCATCAATACTGATCCTGGAAAAAAATGAAATTGATGGGCTTTTTGTGTCTTCAGAGTGTCTGCAAATGTCACCCCCCAGAAACAGCTCTGGGCTGTGAGGCAATTTCACCCTATTGACCAAAGACACATGTCAACTAACGAAGAAAATATTTTTTTTCCAATCAAGTTTATTACAAAATAAATGTCAATAAGTGCACAACACAACACTAATTACTGTTGACCACAACAACAACAGAAAACCTTCGAAAAGGCCATATATGTAAATTAAATATATTTTTGTGACTCATGGTCTGTGGCCAGTCTAACAGAATCTAATGAAGCATGAAAAACTTTTTGGGCAAAAGAGGACAATGAGAAACTTTTGGGAAGAGTATGACTCCACCTGAAAACACTGTATGGGACAACCAGGGATTAAACTGAATACGCCGCTGACACACGGGCTCATTTAGAGGCTACTGACAGTGAAGTTTTCCACCAGAGAGAAGTAACACAAGTGACACAAGTCAAAGTGTAAAATGCTCCACTCAGCACAATTTCACCACTCTTTAATGACCAAATGTAAAAGAGCTTTATCAAAATGTGAAATCACGCTCTACAGACACACCAGAAAAAAAGTGTAAAATTTGCAGGAAAAGCTGATTGTATCTTGGTACCTATAAGTTCACATGGTGAGCTTTTTTTAAAAAATTTTTTTAAATGACCTTTAAAAGTCCGTGTTCCGGCTTAGCAAAAGGCAGAAAGGCTCAGCAGAGGATCCAACAAAACAGCCCTTCCAAAGTTTCCCCCGGTCACATTAAACGTGGTTGTGATATCATTAAATACATAACAGATCTGTGATAAATACAAGGAGAAGCTGCCCTCAGGCAACCACAGCTTTCGTCTACGGTTTTGGAAATATTACAGGAAGATTACACAAGATTTCACAGGGAAGCAGACTGCAAAAGGAGAATCTAGTTACATAACCAGAGAGCTGTGATTGTCTAGTTTCACGAGAAAGTTAGTCATTTTTGGAATGTGACAGTGATGATCGTCTCCAGGATAATTATAAGCCTGCTGGAGGGCGGAGGGAGGGTGACATTAAGCTGATATATCTTGCATATCTTCTTCCATGAGACATTTTTTTATGTGCTTCTTTTAGTTATTTGGCATGACAATACTTTTTTTTTGTTACATACCACACCACAGTCATGTTTGTAATGACAGATAGTTTATGCCACATTTACGGTTTATCAGTGATTGTTGTGCAGTTAGTTGTTTTGCATGCTATCATACTATGGAAGTAAAAAACAAGTCTTACCATTGTATGTCACTCTGGGTTTGGTTAAACACAAGACCAGGTGAAGATCCATCTCATCTGACGACACGAACTTGGAGCACACAGGGCACTTGAAGCCTGGAAGAAAGAAAGGAAAACACAGCAGCAATGAATAAGAAGTGGAGGGTGGGATGTGTGGAAAAACTCAGAGGAAGACTGAATCCAAGGGTCAAACTCTAATAAAGTGACAAACACCAAGTTATTTCTTCTCTCTTCAGCACCATTTGCTGAAGTGTTGTTGCATCTAATTTCCTACTACGACTCCCAAATTGTCCGGTCTTGTGAATGTGGAGCTAAAAATATGAAATGGTCACCATTTTGAAATGCGCAAAACAAAGAATTTTAATTGGATCGTTTAAGGTGTCCTGAAAACACATTTTGAGACGTTGTTTGTTGTAGTGACTGAGGGGAATTCTGAAGAGGAAGTACTGGCTTTGGCTGGTAGAAACAAACTGAAACAAGACTTACAGATCATGTATTCTTTATCATTCCTATGAGAACGTTTGTGATCGCTGATGTGTTTGCAAAAATCCTTCTTCTGTTGTTTCTCCAGGCTGGAATGTGCCTCGAGTACATAAAACTTTTGCAGTGGATTACGGAGAGACCAGGCTGTGTGCCAGCAAGTTGGAAAAACTAATTAGCTAACAGGCTATTGAGTTTGTTTGACTATGCTGACAGTCAAATTGTGTAAATGTTTAATTATTAAAGAAATTTGTGTAACATACAGAGGACACACACACTGTAGTGGTTCACTCGCTGTGTGTATTTAATAATCAAAATCAAATCAAGTTTATTGTCATTTTGCTGTACATACACAGTAGCACAGGCGAGATGAGAGAACGTTTATTCAGGATGCAATAACTTAAAAAAATTTATATAAAGAAGTGTTTGTATATCTGGATCAGCAGTTCAGCATTCTGACAGCTTGTGGAATAAAAAAATAATAAATAAATAAAAAAATGAAAAATACAAATAATGAAACCAGACAGTTAAAATCTCGTTAGCCTCTCTCCCATGGCTGCGGTGAAATCTTCATTTATTCATAATGAAATGCATTTCCTTGCGTTGAATCCAGTGGGCATACTCTGTATATTATATGACTTTAAAGACATGAAGCTAAATTTGTAGAGACAAGGCATTAGGCACAGCCTTAGCATGTTTGTGTAGTGCCTACGTCAAATGAACTGAAAAAAAACTATGCAGAGTTGTCGCCCTGCAGAGAAAGTATTGGTGTAAATACAAGTGAGGGTCATCTGATAATTGGAAAGTAGACTAATTTAGAATATTCTTTTTGAGCAGAGTGTAATAGCAATCTTCTACAGAGAGTGTTGCATTGTGGATTTTTTTTTAAGTCAGTCAGCTAGCAAGTGATTCCAGCCACTGAGAAAGTGACCTGCTGACAAACTGAGCACTGACTTTAGTAGCCAAACACTGTCAAGTGTGAAACGACTACCGGAGGATTAGACAAGTTTTCAGTCGAATAAAATCGAATTTCCTTGCATAAGCCCACCAAAACCTAAAAAGGAAGACCCTGTACTGTCAACATAAAAAGAAAATCATCATGTAGTGAGACAAATACCTCCTGATTTGCTCATAAAAGCTCACAAAATCCATTTATTATTCATATTACAGCAGTGTTTTACATGACATACCAGAGGGAGTGTGCACACTGAATAGCAGTGACAGTGGCATAACACAGTAAATAAAAGGCTGTAGGTTTAATCACTATTACACTATATGAATCAGTGTAAAGACACTGATTCATATGAAAGGCTGCAAATACAAAAACAATGCTCCAAACAATATGCCCCTAAATATTTACAGTTACAACTCAGGTTGTAATTATCTCTCTGTTTCTACTTCCATCACAATTATCTTGTCACAATCTCAGCCAGAACAACTAATCCTGCAGTTTCCACTGACATCACCCTGCCCTTTGTCACAGATTACCTTCAGAGCAACTCTGCTCTGTCTTCCATCAGCCACTGGCAGAACAGTTCTGCAGCAGGGGGCAGAGTGTCACATATCACAGACAGGTGATGGACGTCAGACCGAGGAGTGTAAATGCATGCATGTTGTGTGTGGAGCTTCCTACATTGTTAAAATCAGTCCGCATGCTGGGATACTGACCGGATAAATAGATTAGTGCAGCCAGAAGTAGGCTCTCCATTGCTTGTCTGACCTATTTCAGTGAATCACAACACTCACACACAAGCAGGACGTCATCTCTCAAGATCTCCTCGCCATCTGCTGACAATTAGGAATGTACAGTCTAGGTGTGTTTATACGAAAGAGAAATGAGGATGAATTCCAGCTCTGCATGACTCCAGCAGTCATTGTGAAAAATGCTAAACCCAGAGCTGTGTCCTCCTCCCTGTGAGGCTGTGATGACTCATCCAGTAAACTGTATGGGATGCTCTCTCCAGTAAATTAAATTCCTGCTTGCGTTCTCATGCATGTCTTACTGAGGCCATACCTGCTGCTGGTCGCATTAAAACGTTGGCTTCTGAAAGTCTATCTCTCCTAGAACAACTCACACACTCTAGAGTATGCATGTATGTGTGAATGACACAACTGTTTATAACCATGGATGCATATGTTTTAGCTTTGTATTGCCCAGCAGCAAACTTCTGCTGTGGAAGGATTCATATGCAAAGAATTAATGAAAACAAATAGCGAATTAAGAGAACAAAGTCAGATGATCTGAAACATCTGCTTCTTTGAGGTGCAAAGCCATAAATTTCCAAAACAACACTGAAGAGAGGTGAGAGGTTTAGATGATGAGACAATGGGAAAATTATTTATGAAGTGCACTTTTCACGCCATTCATCGGGTGAGGATGTTAAAACTCATCACTATCATCATTATGCTGATAGAAGCATGGGGATAGAACATGTTTATAACAAAAAGATCCTTTCTGACTACTGCTGGGTTCACTGAGAAGTGAAAGAACACTGTCAGAACATGACTCTGATGACATAAGAAAACCTTACAATGTCAGTTGGCATGGTTTTTGTTTCATTTCCAGGATTAGGTGGGCTTTGGCTTGAGGAAATTGGCTGATCCCTTTGTCTTATGAAACCTTTTCAAAAATTTACCGCCTGAAGATATAGATACTTTTTCAGTTCATTGTTGATTTGCTTAGATCCATATATGCCCATCATTCTGCTACTCCAGGAACTCTATTTGGTGGAAAGGTTGGTACCCTGACTGGTCTCAGTCTCTGCTTTGTGCAGTGCATCATTTGGCTATGTGGCTATGCAACTATTCATGTGTGTATCTGTATAAGTCTTAACTCCAACTGATGCCCAACACTGTAAAGCTGGACAAATCTACAGCAAGAAACAGAAAGGCCCCTTCTGACCTCTAGGAAAATATTAAGCTGACTGTGATGTCTCTGTTGAAACTTTTATATGTATGCTTTTGTTTCTGTTTGCTTACTCAGTCTTGTCATCTTCAAAATATAATGGAACCTTTTTGCTCATGTGCTTTAACAGAGTTGGGTAAGGAAGCGATTGGTTTGGTGGGAGCGCAAACCAGGTGTAGTGCATAGGAGGCACAGAGTGAGTGCAGCTGAGGCTGGTTAAAACCATGAAACTGGCCCACTAAAAACAAAAGGCACTTGGACTGCCTTATGTCGAATTGTCTCCATTGCAAAAGACCAGTTGCTGTAGTGCTTTGTTGACAGCAGTGCAAACATAAGTTGTTTTTTGTTTTTAAAAAGACTCTGTCTTACTAAATACATGTGCTGTTTATGCAGAAAGCTGCTCCAAATTCTGATGGGATCATTTATTCTGTGTGCAGTTCACACAGTTAGCACATGGGGGTGTAGGTCAGAAGTTTTTACTGAGCACTGTTTTCGATTTATCATGTTTACGTTGTGATAATAAGGATGGTTGAATAAGGGCTGGGCATGACAACATATTATCCCTGTCAATGCATGGGTAGCAGAGGTCTGTCTAAATAATGTTACAGGGGCGCTGTGCCCTCATACTCCAGGCTTGCACCCTCTTACCAAAATGCCAACTGAACCCTCGTAACACTTGGGCAATGTTCTTACATGCTGCCGTACAACATGCAATCTTCACGAAAACGATCTTCTCAGCTGTGAAAATATCCCAGCACCATCACAAGACAATGTATCTGATCATCAAAAACGTTATAATGACTCCAGCATGTTCCAATTGCGGTAGATACACCATTAGATGGTGCAAAAAACGATCGAAATTGGCGTTTCCCATGCCAAGGTGCCATATTGTTTTGGTGTTAGCTGCTCTCGCAAGATTTCATATGGGTTACATGCAAGGTCAGCTGACCTACACAGCAAGATTTCTCGAGACTGAATGACCTTTCATCCACTGGTGCGGGAGCTTTGACAGAAAAGGTCGCGTCGCGAGCTGTTTTTGTTGATGCCTGGGCATTTATAGATGTCATCCCACGGCACAAAACAGAAGAAGGCAAAAGTCTGTCCGGGGTAGAAGAAGATGACTTCTTTTTTCATCAAGTTTCATGAGCTAAAATTTCTCTCAGAATGTCCCATTTAAGCTTCAGTTTTTGAAAGGCTTTGCACCGCAGAAGGGGGCAACTATTGATCTGCGGACATTCGGTCCCAATTAATGACGAATATCCCGAATATTGGGGGGTGCTGCACGGTGGTGACGGGTGAATATTTCTTGCGACAGGGGGTGGGCACATGGTGCGCTCAGGCTCCGGAGGGGGCGTGACGCACAGGCTGCATTTAGCTACTAAGTCCAGTTTCTGTGTTTAGGTTAGCAGTGACAGCACCGTTTCTGCGGCGGCAGCAGCAGGGGGCGGTATTCAGAGATCAAGTTTGATGTCCCAATTCCAGCACAGCAAACGAATAGTCGGCTATTTGGCTATTCGGGTTCAGCCCTAGCTCCCTCATACAACTTTTTTCTAGAAAAACCTCTAGGTAGTAATAAGTTACATGTACTTACGTCACATGTTTTTTATGAATTGTTATATTTGCTTAAGTAACTTTTTGGAGAAAAAAAACCCAACAACTTTGAAACTTACAACTCGATGTCTACATTGATTCATACTGTACATGTTATAAG